AGGAGCTCCTGGAGGACGTGTTAGTGGGGCCAGCAGGGGGCACTCACCCTGTGGTCCATGTGGGTCCTAATGCCCCAGTATAGTGACGGGGACACTATACTGTAAACAGGCGCCGTCCTTCGGATGAGACATAAAACCGAGGTCCTGACTCTCTGTGGTCATTTAAAAATCTCGAAAAGAGTAGGGGTGTAACCCCGGCGTCCTGGTCCTTACCAATCGTGGTGAGCGTTCTGGCGCACTATGGCTGCCGTTGCATCATCCAGGTGGGGCTGCACATGGTGGTGGTGGAGGGAAGTCCCCATTACCTGTACAGTGCTTTGAGTGGAGTGTCCAGAAAAGCACTATATAAGTGTAAGCAAATAATAATAATAATAATATTCTGGTTTTTATTGAAATGCATATTCTCTTAATTGAATTACATTTAACTGTTTACAGATTTTAAAACAGGTTAGAATTTCATGAGACCTAATGATCCTGCTGAACTGGCGAGCTCTTGAAAGAGAACATGTATATGATAGCACTTTCCATTACCTGTGATTCTTAGAATTGTGTCTTTAAGTACAATTCAAGCTGCACATCCACGATTTTCATCTAAGACTAAATTGATTCAAATTTGGTGCTTAATTAGTCAAATCATGTTTGCTTTAGATTTTAAATGTTTTGCTTTGGAACATTGATCTTCTCTCCTGATCCGGGGACATGATGCGGTCTTCTGTTTTTTATGCTTCGTAAGCTCTGACTGCATCAAATCATTCATTGACTTGATTGGTCTTCTTTAACCCATTAGGGGTTTGGAGCTTTGAGTATTTAGGACCAAGAGTGAAGTTCACTGTTTTAGAGAATCATATCAAAGCTGCAGAAGCATGACATTTGGGATTACAGTTGGCAGGTAAAAAGAAGGGACTAATAAGTCACATAAGGTGGTAATTGTTGATGAACCCCAGTGGTCTTCAAAACATGTCTTTTGTGTGGTGCCTACCTTTTATAGCTAAATTGCCATGTTGTGGCGCCAGTTCTGACATTAAGATTTCTATGTAATGAACCTCAAAGGAATACTCTGTCCTGTGAGGAATGAATGTGAAGTTTCCTGATATATATGATGGAGAAATACAATAGTTGAAATACAGTAAATGCATTATGAATCTTTTTTTTGCACAATCTTCCTGAAAACATGATCTGGGTGAAGTGCTGTTTACAAGGACACTTAACCAGGTCATTTAATAGAATCTGTGTCTCAGAAAAATCTTGGAAAGATGTTAAAGGGGAAAAAGTTATTGAAACAAAAGATATATTCCAGTCACTTATTAATTTCATCCCTAATATGTCTGGTACAGTGCTTAGTTGATCGCTTCCATTATATTACTCCAAGGATCATCCTTCACATACAGGTGCATTTAAGAAATGATCTAGGGATCTTGGAATGCTGCGACAGCACAAGAGTCTGTTCTCTTGCTGTCCTTGCTTCATTTTATATAAACTTTTATCAAATATTGGTTCTAGACTGAGGAATAGTTAGGTTCATGTCTTAATGGTCTTTTTTGTAATGATAGAATGGAATGTTATTGTATATTATAGGACGCATATCTGCTCAAGGTAATGGGGTAAAGTCAGTTCCTTCATAGAGTAGTTGTAATAACTGCCTTTAACATCACTAGTGCAGTATCAGCAGAGATATATTGTACTTTAAATACTGCTGAAGAATATTGCTGTTTATTTTCTTATTGCTCTTTTTGCAATTATGGCTTCCACTCATTATAAATCATTCAGGACCTAATATGTTCTGGTTTCTTTAAGGATCTTGATCTGGGAATTAAGATGTTTGTCTGCAATTCCAGAAGCCTGAAAACACTTACAGGTTTGCAGAAAAAGAAGTAGTCCTCCTGTACTTACAAGAAACAGTAGCATTTTGTATGACAGTTTACCAGTTACTGTTGTGACACTTCTTCATATAGGCAGTGAGCATAATGGAGTGAAAGTAAGTAGAACATTCTAGTGCGTGTGATGTTTGGTCTTATGAACCTGTGTACCATGCCCACAGCTCAAATCTTTTGCTAAGATAGTGATTAAAAATAGGTGCTGGTGAATTGTAACAAGTTATTTTGTCCTTCGCCAATCTGCTTTTTGTGGGAGTTTGATGATGTCATTTCCATCTGTGTCTGTGCATCATATGTTGATCAACTAGTAGGATCTGTCCATTTTCAAACCACTTCATTCAATTCAGGCTTGTGGGGGAACCAGAGCCTATCTCAGAAAGCAATGGGTACAAGGTAGGGTACGCTCTGGGTGGGACACCAGTCCATCGAAGACACACAGACACACGCACACAGACACACACACACCAGGGCCAGAATTGAAGCTACAGTAGGACACAAGCATTGTGAGGCAGCAATGCTGACCACTGCATTGTAATAGTCGCAATAAAGTTCATGAGAGTCTGCATAAAGTTCTTTATCTTTAAGTTATTGTGAATAATATATATGAAGTCAGGTATTTTTGACACTCAGGACTGACCAAAGACACAATTGATTGCTTGCTTATGTAAGCCTGGTTACTTTAAGTCCTCAATTTGCACTGGAGATTTAGAGTGTGGCTTGAATTGAAACTGGTTGGCTGATCCACCAGGACCAGGGCTGATAATCTAAACGGGATGGGTATTTTGATCTGAATTTGTTTTCGGTCATCTTCCGTGCTGATCACTGCAGAGACTTTTCTGTTAATTAGTTCGTACATCATGCATTTCCCCTGATTGAATGAAGTAGTGGAAATGAATGAAAATTAGAAAGGAGTCCACTGTTCTGCTTAATGTCACAAGTTATCTTCATCAGGCAAAGCATGAAAAACAGAAAGAGTCCATAATAATGAGCAATGGTATTGATAAATTAACTTGGCGATGTAACATACACCATTTACACGTCTGTATTCAGTTATTGTTTCATGTTAAATGGCAGGTGGGACAGTAGGTATCCTGGCCAGAGTGTTATGGGTTAAAATCTCAGATGAGATGCTGATGTTGCATCTTTGAGCAAGATCTTTCATCCAGCTTGTGCCATTAAATACCCTGCTTTGTGAAGGTACTTTCTAGGCCATTATTGTAAATGAGAATTTATCAAATGACTTAGGTAATTGAACACGCTTCTCCTTTCTAATTAACATGAGTATTACAGTGGCTTATTTCGGTTAGCAGTGTCTCCGACAGACTCCAACAGGAAATTCAATAAATGCAAAGAATGAGCTAATACTAAGAAAAAGAAACAGCAGATTGCTTGCAAGTATCTGACTGTGCCATCACAGTAGGAATGTCTTTACTGAATATAAGGTGTGCCAATGCTATACTGCATATACATATATGTACAATACTATATGCTGTAAAAAGTGTACGTTTAAGTAAAATTTGAGCTGACTATTATGTTCTCTGCTTGAAGAGCACCTGTGAGCTTACAGTATTTTTAGTGACAGCTGCGTTGCCATCCCTCCTACGGGTGATGTGAGGCTCCAGAAAGGGCTGTGTAAAAGAATGGCGGCTGATTCACAGCTCAGATTTTGGAGGAATATGTGAAAAATTCCAGTATGTGTAAAGATAGTCTAATTCCTTCTGAGTCGTTTCTGCTGTAACAATAAGTAGTCACTGTGTCACTCTGGACTTTGTACCAAAAGGGTTTTGCACAGTTCTGCTTCTGTTGTCGAGTTTTCTTCAAGGCAATTACTTCCAGTGGAGGTGATTAAAATAAACATAACCTGAAACATTGTCAGATGTTTCTTATTGTGAATAAATGTGTATAATGTCCACTTCTGATTAGATGCAATTATGAACTCATAGTCTTTATTCAAACTGGGAGATTGGAGTAGCTGTAAGACGTTAAAAGCCATCCTTTAAAAATATTTTGAAAACCACTTGTTTAAGAGGAATAAAATAAGGTGAATCTTTTTAAAGGTATTTCTGGTGATTGTTTTTTTTGAACACTTAAGATGGGTAAAAGACACAGGAGCAATGCAGATTCCTTTGACTATCCATTGAAAACTGCCTTTGATTATACACCATCACATGTGCAATTGCACAAACACGCAAGATCCCTTCATTGCAACAACCACCTTTTCAAATCATGTTTATAAAATACACAAAAGTGTAGAGCAGAAGACTCGCTTGACAAGATATCACTCTGCTTTCAGCACTGGTGGGATTTGTGATTATACGGATGCTATTTATTTCTGGTGCTGTACTTCAGATCATTGGCGAAGTGCCACAGGACTCATATTCGTCTATATAATTTGTACTGCACAACAAAAAATCCCAGAGACTTCAAAGACAGGAAGGCCTTTGATAGCTTCAATGAAATTAGTATATCGGTAGAAAGATTTATCAAATCATTCTAATTATTATGGATCTGGAGAAAGAGACAGCAAAGCAGTAACATTAGGTTTAAAGATGGGCTATCTTTCGTCATTTTTAGATGTGTTCTTGTGCATCCAAAAAAATTTAGTGCTCCAGGTTACACCTTTTATTACTCGTTTTATGATGATTGTTTTGAGTGTAATGAAAATGTGAGGGCTTCATGCATTACTACTAAGCTATGATGCTAATTTCACCATTTCTGCCTTCAGGTTGTTGCTTTTATCTGTTCTCAAATGTTACATGTTATGATTAATAAATGATAATTCTTATACCAGTATTGAAATATTTGGTGACACTAGTGTTGAGTGAGTGTTTTTATTTCTGAAAAGTACCTTTTAAGAGGTCTTAAACGGAAAGAAATGGAAATTCCCTTTCAAGTGATATCGGTTTTAAGTTTATGCATTTGTTCTGGTCTGAATGGATGATAGTGACTAAACATCCCTCAGAGTTTTGAATCTAAGCTGCTCTTCTTGCACACCACAGCTGCAGTTGTTTTGGCTCGTCACCACACCATGAATGTTTTTTTACTTCTAGTATTGGCCATCTTTTCTAAATTTGGCATGTTTCCTTGGGTTCAGGACTAAGCTTTTTTTTCCTTGTGTCCTATCAGTTTCCTTGCAGGACATCACCATGAGGAAGGCCTTTCGTAGTTCCACCACCCAGGACCAGCAGCTGTTTGATCGTAGCACACTACCCATTCCTTTACAGGAGACCTACGATCTGTGTGAACAGCCTCCTCCGCTCAACATACTGACTCCTTACAGGTGAGCACAGAACCGCCAGCTGCTACGTTCTCCTTCAGAGCTTTTTCACATTATTTTCTTTGGGACATCTGCTTCCACAGCAGTAATACAAAAGACAAAGGAGATTAAATGTTTCTCGCAAGTAAAAATAATCATCCACGAAATGCAACCCAAATATAGAAGTGAAATGGTTAGGTGCTAAGTAAACCTTATTTTTGAGGAAAATTGATTCTCTGTTAATGGTACACTTTGTAACATACTGGCTTGTACATCTTTTTAATCTCTAACTCCAGAATCTATTTGAGCATATTTGGACCTAACAGTTGCTTCAGTTCATTTTTTGCCAGCAATAGACATTTTTTTTAGGTTTTAGGGCTTCTCTGAATTTGTCTAGAGATAGTAGTGTTTTGTGTTTTCTTGATCACAAAAATCTGTTCTTTGTCACCTGTAATTTATTTTTACTCATTCCACTTTCCACTAGAATATAACGCATCAGTATTCCATAACAATGTTATTTGCGTCCCTGCCCACTGTTCCTAGTAATTGTGATGACTGAAAGGAATTGGATTGCAAATTGATGGAACATAAGCTGCACACTAGCACGCATCTTGGACTGATTGATCACATACTAAGGTTTTAGAAACTGACAAATGCTATTGGTTCCAATACTCATTTGTTGTATTACTAAATTATGACAGAATGTTTTGTTCAGTCTTTTCCCCAATAACTGATAAATAATAGCAAAAAAGGTTAACCACAGGAAATGTACCATTGTGTTTATGTATGTTGGTTCCATCAAATTTGCATAATGTTGTCAGGATGTTTCTTTAATCTTTGAATTTCTTTTGAAAATTGAATATGATTCGATCGTGTGAATAAGATGCTCAGTGGGAGGAAATCTAATTGAATCCCCTGTCATGGGGCTCTGAAGTGATAATTACTTTCCATTTTAGTTGGTTGCTGGGATGTGTAATACCAGGGCCATGCTGAGCATTTTAAGCAGACATTCTGTCCTCGCTGTGTTCTCGTCGGTTGTTCTGATAAAAGTCAGGCATTACTGGAAGAAATCCTTAGACTTCTGAGTATTGGTCTGTCACATTTTGTAAATATCAGCAAGTGTTGCATTTTTAATTTAAGTTAGCTAAACACCTTGGACAGAAAACTGAACAGCACCTTGATTCTGGATCCAAGTAGGAGTAATTTCACTGCTTAAAGTATCTTTACTTTGTAAAAATGTGTATTTAAGTTAAATCAGTACATGCTGACATTCCTTTTTTTAATTAATGTGAGGGTGCTATGCCCCCAACAAAGGTTGAGGGGGCACAGCCTCACAACAAAACAATTTTGCCCCTGCGTTCAACAGGAGGCAGAACACCTCAAAAAAACTGGATTCAAAAACTCTGTAAAAAAAAACTAAGATTACTTCAAACAGAAAAACACTCAGAAATAGCCTTTTGTTCCAGAAAAAAGGAAGTGTGTAGTGAGTAACACGTGAACGTTGATACCAGACATTTCGAACGTTCCGGGTATGTAATGAGTTTTTCAGAATGCACAATACATCGCGACACCGAGATCTACCGACACCGCAAGGTAATATCGCAGTTTTAAGGCGTTTCATATAAAATGTGGGGACAAGTGCCAAATGATCACAATAAACAGTACATATAATGAGCATTACATGTACAGAAGACTGAAAGTATGCATAACTTCGTACTTGTTTCACATCAAATGTAAATTTATAAGATTTATTAAAATTATAAGAAGTGATCACATTTATACTGTCTCAACTAATTCTGGTGTCCTCCGTTTGCTAATTCGCTAATAATGATCACAACAGCTGTACGACAGCTACCAAATGAGCTGTGAACGCCATCTCATTTTTCTTCTCCGTTTTGTACTTTGACATTAAAATGACTGTAAATAGTAATTTGTCAAATTATTCAGTGTGAAAAGGAACCTGTTAGGGGTAATTATTTTCTTACTCTAGGTTGTGAAAACATTAAAAGCAACCTTTTAAACTGAGTTAGTGCTGGTACCTCCCCATCAATATCCCTCATGCCAGAGAGTTTATTTTAGCTTCTTGTCGGAGTGTCTGTTCTGAGGGCCTCATTAATGATGTCTTTAATGATAACTTTCCCCAGGGATGATGGGAAGGAAGGTTTGAAGTTCTACACAAATCCATCATATTTCTTTGACCTGTGGAGAGAGAAAATGCTACAGGACACCGAGGACAAGAGAAAAGAGAAGAGAAAACAAAAGGTAAGACGTTTTGTATGAGGTGTTTCTTCAATTCATAATTCTTAGAGATTTTTTGTAAACATTGATGTTTTCCCTTTGGGTATTTTATGTAATTCTGTTTCAGAGCAATACTGGCTTCTAATTTTCTGAAAATTGTGACGTTTTATAGATAATGTATGTATCTATATACAGAATAAAGTAAACTGAAAAGTTGTAGGTTGTAGCACTGATGATCTTCAAGGTCTGTTTTCCAGCATTGGTATGGAACATGCAATGTATGTAACAAGAAATATTAGATTATAATTTACACCTAAGTAAAGGCTTTCAGTTTTGTCCTCTTAAATGTTTTGCTGTGTTACAATTAATGAAATTCTGACTAATTTTAGCATGTGTACCTAATGATTGGTAGCAGGAGTACTTAATGTGTTCTATACTAATAACCATTTCTTACTGGAGAGGATTGTAAACATGCCTAATCATAAGCAGTGAAACCTCTGTAAAACCTCAATTTTCAGAGATCCACATGGCTCAAGGGAGAGGAGTTCAGTACAGTGTGAGATGGAGTTTGACACGCTCCACTGTGTCAAAAAGACATTTTCATGATAGTTTAGGTTTTAATTATCATTTGGCTTATCAGAGGAGTGAAAGTACTACCCCTAAATCAGTTCCTATAAATAAGTGTGGTGTTTGTTACCGATTTAAATTTAATTTTCTGAAGTTCACATCACTTGCTCACTAAGCACCAACAATAAGCAGCTGTAGGGGACAGAAATGAGAAATATATATGTTATAGGTAGCTAGGAAACTACACTGCCTAAAAAAACTTGATTTCTTATGAAGGAGGTCAGCCAAAGTAGGTCATGCAGTAGACACAATAATAATAATAGCCTTGAGTCTGTTACAGTGAAATTGACCTTGGTCTTTCTAGATCTATAAAAAACATTGTTAGGGAAAACCTTAACTAATAGTACTCTATGTTAAATTTCATTTTACTTACACCTCTGGTGTATTCCTTTTCAGATTTGGAGTACATAGTGCATTTTGCTTTGCATAACCATAGGAAAATGATAGCAAATGCTAATGTTGGCAAGGAAAAGAGAGAGGTCATACAAGAGTAGTGACATTGAAAGACATACGAAATTGCACAGACAATTGGAAGTATTAGTCTGCCATGATGGAAGGCAAGCACCGATATTTCAGTTTACTGAAATCATGTTACGTGGTTTGTTCTCCATCTGCACTAGAGATGTAGCAGGATAGATGGTCATTAATAAACTGCATTCTTGTACACCACAGATGATTCGATTGACCTTTTCTGTAAGGAAATAGTCATTTTGACTTAATTACTGTTTTGAATTGCTTTTAATTATTACAGAATGGGGATCCTGTTGGAATGAGAAAAATAGTTTAGCTACATACAGATTTCATTGAAACAGCAAAGATACTTCATCCAAGCTGTGACCTTATAAGACATCCTCCTGTACCCCCTATGTCTGTTCTATTGTAGTATGTAGGCTACAGGGATTCCTTGGTGCACTGCACTTGATTTCACTCTCTGTATGAAGAGGCAAGACGTGTAAAGCATACGTGTGCCTGCCAGTGCACATATAATTTCAGGTTAAAACTGGTACCACCCCCCCATCCTCCTGTCTTGCTGTGAACTTCGAAAGGCTTCATCACTCAAGAAAGTAAGATCCCATTATAAATACAGGGTGTTCTGAGTGACTGTTGACTTCAAATGATGTGCCACCTGTGGTGTGCATAATTTAGTGTTCAACAGCTACCGAGGTGGGGATGTACACCGAATAGGCACCATAAATCCCTAAATCCAAAGGATACAGTTCAATGTGGTGTTCTGTAAAGAGGTTTTTTTTGTTTTGTTTAAGGTTGTGTAAATCTTGCTTCTTTCAAATAGCATAAACCATGGGCTATGTTTTAGAGATTTTGAATATGATTTGTCAATTGTCACCCACTCTTGAATCCAGAATTCTGCATGTTCACTATTAAACACTAATTTTTAAACCATTTTATTTTCCACAAATTGATTTTTGTTTTGTCAAAGTACATTTTAGATCTTCTGGTTTTTCAGCACCTACCAGAACAGGTTTCATGGCACACTTTTAAATGAAGCTCACTTTAGACACGTTTTTTGTTGAGAAGTCAAGTAGCAACACACCGATTTTTGATCGTAAAAGCTGACTCCCCATCTGGCCATGGTGCCCTGTAGATTCGCTGGCATCTGTGCTCACAATACACATCTGGGGTTCGTGCTGCTCTGGTTATGCATCTGCTGTTAACATCACTGGTGCGAGCAATACTATGGGTCTCTTCAGTTTTCATGCCTACAGCAGCATTTCAGTTCCTCAGGGCAATTAATAAATGGTAACACAGACAGGGAAATTCCATTGGGTGTTTTAAGTATTAGAATGAAAAATCAACAGCTGAAAATAAATTCAACTTTGCATAACAATTCCAGTTTAATAAAGCAATTTTTATTCAAGGTTAATCAAATAAAATGGTTTATTATGTATTTAATAATTGTAGACAACTCTCACGTCTTTAGCATTCTTTGATACTTTTGTGTAGTCTAATCAACACAAAACAATATTCATAACTTTGGAGAAGGAGCTGTTCAAGACCAAGGACAGACTACAGGTCAGCAATATGTTTTGCAGTGATACCATGTTTCTTCCAGGTACTGTGCACAGAGTGATTTCGGAAGTGGTGAGGATAAATACAAAAGCAAAAATGAATTACAGTGCAGTACATGTTTCACACCAGAAAAGGGGCAAACATTCAGAAACTACCTTTCTACCATGCTTTTGTTTATGCACGTACTGCAGAAGCCAGTGCATCTCAAAAAAACATTGTGAAAATTAGTTCCGGATTTCAGCTAGTGGTATTCTTAACATCAACAGAGGCGTGAATCATCTTTTGACTTTGCTGTGATTTCTATGACAAATTTCAGGATTCAGAGCCTCATGGTCTGAAAGTTAGTTGACATTGTGCTGAATTTACATGGCTGCTTTCAGAATAAGCAGTGCAGCCCATCTCTTCATCATAACAGTGACAGACTGGTGTGTGTACTGATTCCTTGAAATTGCACTGTGGCTTTCCAGGGTTTATCCAGCCCCAAATACCTCTGGAAGAAAATAACATTCATTTTCACAAATATGACTGGGCACGCACAGTATATGACTTTGTATTGGAATACAAAGTCATGGAATTCTTTGTATTGGGGAAAAATCTAGAGTGTTTTCTCTTATTTTAGCCATTTTTTACATCTATCGGAAGAGAGATGCCTTTCATTCTGTGTATGTTCAAGTAATAAATGTGTTGCAGTGTTTTTCTTGGTTTCAAATTCCTAACAATTTGTTGTTTTGTTTTTTCATATCACCAACTGCTGTTTAAAAAGCTTTCTGGTAATTGAAGGGTAGCAAGTATTTTAATAATAAATGTACGAAGTGTAACAGATGGTCTGGGTTTTTCTAATGATGTGATTTGCTTGTTTAGGAAATAATTGGGTCAGTTAGTTGCTTCTGGATTTGTTCTATATGACATTTGCATCAGAGCTTCTTTGTTTTTGCCCCAATGGGAGTGTCAAGCACAATATGAGCTGTTTAAGGGAAAAAATGTTTGTTGTGCATCTCTAATCCAGTTACTGTTAGAGGTGGCTGTTTATTGAAGGAATTAGTGTTAGTTGCTATGATCAGACTTCAGTAGACTGGGTATGAATAAATCTGATCAAATGATGTAGGACGTATTTGTTACAATTCTAAAACGATTGCCCTCAATTTGACAATCTCAGCAGCTGAAGCAAAACTGATGCTTTTCAAAAGTTAAACATTGTTATTCTCTCAAAATGTTGTAAACAATTGTGCATTTTAGGATACATGTAGATTGTTAGAAGTAGTCTTGAACTTGACATTGAGAACAGCACACAACGTAGTGGTATTGTCCAAATGACCATGCTTTTTATCTAGAATGTACTCATCATGAGCTTGATGTTGCCAGTGTGCTCGTATGGTCAGCCAGAAAAAAAGTAAGTAATCTGCATTACTGAGTAGTTCCACAGCTATGTAAGATTTTCCTGTTCATTCTAACTGATGAAGCAAATACAACAAAAATGTTTTCCATGAATAAAAAAACGTTTGTCATTTTAACCATGGGCTTTGAAAATGAGCAGCAAAATCAAAAAGATGCCACTATTGTCTGTAGCTCTCAATACCACACTGTTACTTACTGTAGATTGAGTTTACACTTGACTACCGCCTCAGTTAAGGCTTGAGTTCTACCACTAACAGTGGCGAGTTAATTTTTCTGTAACCATGGTAACTAGCAGTGTAATACTCTGTTGAAATTTAAAGGAAGGCTACCACGCAGATATCATACTGTAGGAAGATGACTGAAATAAACTGAGGATTAAATAAGAGGAGTGCAGATCACAAGTTAAAAAAAGATTATGAAAAATGCATTTAAGTGCTTTCATTTTACTTATCACATGCAACTTGTGTTATAACTTACGTGATATCCATAAGCAAATTTAATGGGATAAATCTGTCACTTGAAAGTATAGAAGTGTTTTACACAGCTGCTTTATGTCCTCTCCACACACAAAGTTTTAAAATTGAAGGGTAGTTAAATATCCACAGGTCATTTATCAGTTTTATGTCCTTTGTATTTGCAACATATAACAAGATATAGGTTTCTGCTGTATGGCTTTTGTGTAGCCTGTTCACCATGTATTCATTGGCTGTGCTCCCCTTGACAACCTCTCTAATGTGTTTGACTCCAAGCAGCTGGAAATGCCATTTCACGTTACATCCCAGGGCTTTAACTGTGTCACCACAGAGCCCACCCACAACCTGCAGGAGGTAGGTAAGACACGAGCTGAAGACCCTGACCCAGCTTTGAGCTTGCAGCCCTACAGTTTGTTTGCTTCTGGTTGGTTTACACTAACTTTACTTTCACAGATTGTTTTAAACTAACTCCTGATGATCTAGGACCTTTTGGGGGGGAAAAAGCAGTGGTTTTTGCAAAACAACTGTATATTTTGCTATATACTGTATATTGGAATTCTTCACACATTCAGCATTGCTTGAGATGATTTTTGGTATTGGTTAGCTGCTGCCAATCATAGCTTTGTTCAGAACAGTTGCCTTAGTCAGTTTTTGGATTGATTTCGGATCCAAGGTTTAGAACAAGCAATAGCCTTATCAGACTGCACCAGTCTAGTTATATTTTGTAACTTCATGATTCAATCCATTACAATAAGTTCAATTCCAGTCACATGTTAGAAAGCTGTCCTTAGCTCTGTGAAAAAGTGAAAACCCACAATTATTGATGCAAAGTAGCTCTCTGAGTATTCGTTATCTTAAGCTTATTTTTTCCTGATTTGCTGTGCATTTAAAGACAGATGACAAGGTGTAGTTCAGCTGTTACTCGGTTGCTGTGTGCAGAATTCCAACACGTGCACTGTTTACTATTATGCATGAAACCAAGAATCACAATAAACAGCCATTGTCAAGCAACAGGGGCTACTCACATACACATACGTTCTAAGAATCTTTTTAAAGCATGTTTAGGGAATCCTTAATGACAAAACTTTCTTAATTGGAACAGCTTGATCTGCAAAACACCATGCTGTCTTGCCAGGATTTACTGACTTGGATTTATTGGGTTAATAGACAATACAAAAAGTTATGAAATCAGACTTTCATTCAGATTTAAGCTTCATCAGTCACAGTGTAGTGAGAATATTTGAATTAGATGGTCATGCATGATAAGGCTATGCTACAATAGTTTATTTAAATTGTCAAATTGAAAAAAAAAATGTTTCTATCAGAATGGCCTGGGTAGATCTTAACCATCAAATTGAATCTAATGTGCTCTCCATGTTCAGTATAGAAATAATTCCATAATCTGATGCAGTATAATTAACTATGAAAAGAAATACAAGATGTATAAACCAGTGCTGGAAAGTTTGTAACGTTAGACACATCTGGGCTTCTGCTATATAAGCCTTTGAAGCAGGATGAGTACATCTCCCCTGGCTGCCCAACCACTGAGTGACTGCTCTTTTGTCTGATCTCATTATGAAACTAAGCAGAATGTATAATTGATGCCATTTTCCCCATGTTGAATGATTCCCTTTTAACATTGCAATTACAAATTCAGAGGAGGCCCAATTAACAGAACCTGAGGTGATGCTGTCAGTCAAACATATTGACAAGCCTGGCATTCTGTGTTTGAAATGAAGTGTTCTAGCTCTTGGTTTTGTTTACTGTAGAAACACACAACTCTTATCTTCTCTTTAGCTGATTTCCTTTAGAAGCTCATATGTACAGTACTAATAACTTCATTTACTTTTAAAACAGAGCTTCATTGACCCAGTTGATTGTCAGTTACAGAAATGCGGCTCACTGATGTCCATCTATACAGATGCTCCTTGCTTTAAAATTATATACAGGTTATTTTCTTCAGCTGCACTTCTTAAAAGTGGGAAGTTTCATGACAAGTACATTATTTTCTCAGGTGTGCTTTTAGAGACAAAAGGTGTCCTCATTGTGTTTCTAAAATGTCTGCTGAAAGCGAGTGCAAAAATAATTCCAGCTCCTGTGAGAATTGGAACATCTGCATTTCCCCGTGCAGCAGGCTGACATTCTGAAATACAGAGAACAACTGGCTGTTAAAACTCTTGAATCTAATTTGCAGTTCATCCATTAGGAGCTGATATTTAACAAATTTCATTTTAATGTGAAAAAATATGCCTTTCTTGTTTAACTCTGTTACACATTACTACATGTGCTGAAATATAAGCCATGTAACCAGAGTTTGCTTCTAACATAAGGCCTTTTCTCAGGGTGAAGATTCAAATTTTTTTAAATACAAAATTTGAGCTTTTTTAAAGGAAATAAAAAGCACTCTTTCTCTGCTTTAATATTTACATCTAATGCTATTTAGACACAAACATCCATAGCCCTCTACTATAATAAATACAGTATTAGACATTTTCAAATGTTTGATTCATTGTAGAAATCTGTAAGTATTTTTAAACTCTAGTTATGTCAGGTGCTAGGAAGGTGGTTATAAAAGTAAAGCAGGAAATGAATCAAGAATATTTAAAATTTCTGTTTGATTCCCAAATCTTCATTCTCTTGTTCTCATTATAGCTTTAAAACACATTTTCATATATTCTTCATATCGGCTACATCTGTTAGGCTGTCAGTGTCATTTTATAAATATTATTTTTGTATTTTGTTGTTAAACTTAAATGGGGAATCCTGCCTAGAATTTAACATATGGTATATAATCAGAGGTCTGTATGCCATATATTAGAGTGAAAAGGCCCTAGAAAGAAGTGATTGTTTGTCATTTATTGTGGGTTCAGATCCCAGGTGGGTCATTACTGATATAACCTCAAACAAATTACTACACTGAGATTGCTTTAGCTAAATACACAGCAGTCTAAATGGATAAATGGGTACAATTTGTACAAGTTGTTTTGGATAGATGCATCTTATGCCTTAATAAAGGTGGCGTAAAGTTCACTGAATAGGCTGGAAAACGATCTCTTAGCTGATGCTTAGAACTATGATATTAGCACTGATGTTTTTCACGCAGGGCTCTAAGGATAAGGAAAACTGAAAGCACATTTTTGACATTTGGTCATTTTTGCAAGTCTGTCACCATCATGAAGGAGGTGTCATCCTTAATCCTGTTAAATGTTTTTTCATGCTTTCTTTTAGAATTGTAGACACTTTATCCTGCACCAGATATGAACAAATATCTTCCAGGCATTTTTCTTTTTCACTGTTTCCCAAACCTTGAGAAATAAAAACATGAAGCTTTCTTGGCATGTCGAGTGTTTATGTGGGCATGTTGGTTTGTTATTTTTATAGTTTAAGTCACCTTTTACCATTTCAAGTTTTTTTCCATAAAACAGTTTTACGTTTGTTAAATCAACAACTTCAGTTAAACTAAAGATCAGACTGCTTGCTCATAAAATGTCCCCCGGCAACTTTGTTAAAGAGCAAGGATATTAACTTCAGTGTCGCGGCTAAATTCCACTCTGTGTAAATTGTAGTCTTCCCTTTAATTGATGTGCAGTGTGGGTGCTGAACTTCAGTTGTGGATGAAGTGGGTCCCTACCTGTGTGGGGATGAAAAGCTCCATAAAACTAAAGAATAATTAATATCAACAAAAAAGACAACTAAAAACAGCATCTTGGACACCAGCGTGAAGAGCTGTTTGCCCAGTGAAAATGCTGTCAAGCAGTGTGAGCACTGCCACTCTACTGTCATTTTTTCAGGATAGAATGGAGATGTGATGTTGAGCATAGAGGAGCCAGGTCACTTATGACCTCTGTAGTCTCTTTATCAGCCTGCTAGTGTCCTTGTTCCAGCATGGCCAGGCATTCCTCGCACCCATTCAGTTAACCTTAAGTACCTTTTAAATGTCTCCATTTCCTCAACTGGCCTTTGAGGTTCAGTTAGAAATGTGTCAGAGGAATGTGCAGACTTTCCCAGGAGATAGGTGGTAAAGGTAAGATCCCAGGAGTGAATCGGAGGCCTGGGCAGTAATTATTACTAATGCTTCCATGACCGCAGTGGTTGATTTACTTTTGTCCTTCCGTTTATCGCAGCATTTTATTGCAGCTGCATCCCATCCCATACAAAATGAGTAATGGCGTCAGGGGTTCTTTTCATGCTTTTTAACCCATAAAGAACAAGTCGGAAGCTATGAATTGGCGAGATGACATCCCTAATGCTGCCCTGCTTGCTTGTCTCTGTTGCAGCTGAAGAATATCGATCGTCCTCAGGAGCCCGAGAAAGTGCCCAGGGCTCCCCATGACCGACGTAAAGAGTGGCAGAAGCTCGCCCTGGGCCCAGAGCTGGCCGAGGATGAACCGGACAACGTGCACAAACACAAGGACATCGCCAATGGCTCGGCGACATACTGCGATGCAAGGTTTGCTTCTGACTTTTTTTTTTACTCAAGAAGGTCCAAGTAAAAGCAAAGCAGTGTTGGCAGTAGAGCTCAGGAGTGAGTTCTGTCACTGCATCAGGGCCAAATACAATCACAAAAATCTACTGCAGCTTAAAAATAAGCATACTCCATTTTTTCATTTTAAGTGTTCATCTACTGTGTTCATTAAGCTAGTTAAATCCCCCATTGAGAGCTTAGAGCTCTAGGAGGTGGGTGTACATGAATCACACTTCTCTGTAGGAGTTGTACTGTGCTCTGTCCTTATTATGCCTGGCCAGAAAATAGGTGTATTCTCTCATCCAAGGGTTGCCAAACTTAATGTTGCCAGGAGGTTACCACTTGTAGGCCACCATGGGGGAAAAAACGTAGCTGGTTGTAACTGTGACCAGGCTATAAAACTTACAGAACCATACTGGATAATGCTGGAGTACAGTTATATTCACAAAATAAGTTTAGGTTAATTCCTTAAAACTTTGTACAGAAATTGCTCCTATCAACAAAATAAAATGACATACAATGAGAAACCACTCAACAAATCATTGAGTGATTCAATTAATATACCCAACATTAAATTTTAAATTTATTAACGGCTTGGCTTTCTTAAAATAATAAAATAAAAATATTTGGAATACATGGATTTACACAAAAATCAACATGTAACCAAGCTAATCACAACGGTGAGGAAATTCTTACAGATGTAAAGATCATGCAACTAAGCTTAACCATCTTGCCATTCACTGCAAATCAGTAAAAGTTTATGGACTGAGTTGTATTGTTACTTGGGTTAACAAAATAGTGCTCAAGTCTTGTTATTCCAGTAATTGCCAAAATGAGTTGATTTAAAGGATCTGTTTATAGCTACTCAACTAATGTAAGAACAACAAATCCATGCCCCACTAGAAATTGTAGTGATGTAGTAATTTTTGATGCAAACAGAGAACCAAATGTAGTGGAGAGAGAAAGCTCAGGACGCTAACAGACAGCACAGGGTGTGCTATGTTTGTGCACTTCTTACAAGCGTGTGCTCTAAGGCAGTTTTGTCTGTCCACGAATAGTGAAGATTGAAATGTTTCAACGAAATTTAGTTAATGGAGCATGTGCTGATGCTGTCCCTTTTCTGTCCTTCATGCATCTCCTGCTTTCTGCACATTTTCTTCATGACCCTTGCTTGGGAATCCCAAATCAGGTGAGTTAGGTTTGATTGTATTCACCTGTGTCGTATATGTCCATTCCCTGTGACTCCATCACATTTCTCTTTATCCATTAACACCTGATCACAAAACAGTGGACGATCCCATTTAAATTTGCAAGTGTTTAAATCTTACAGTTACAGTTGAGGTATTTTATTTTTTACAATAAGGTGAAACAAAATGAAAAGCTCACTGCTGTTTTTCGGTTTTGTAGGCAGCCTGTTTATCTGGATCATATAGACGGTCCCTTTTCGCTGGCAGCCCTGCCATACAGTCAAATGAACGAGCTGCTGAACAGAACCAGCGACAGGATGTACGTCCGGCCGCACGAGCCTCCCCCGCCTCCCCCGCTGCACGCCGTTGGAGACCTCAAGGCACCCTCCGTCATCAGGTAATGAGCTCTCTGCGTGCGTTTCTGCTCTCGGGCTCGACATCCTTCACTGACACGGGGCGAGACGCACTTGAAGCTTGTGAAGTTGTCTTTCTGAGCACTGGTATTTCTCCTGAAAATCTGGGCCATGCTCAAGAACAAAAAATGGCTTTATATGAACAAATTTTTAAATGCGAGTATGGCACAGCGGCGCAGTTTGAGAACAGTGCTGCTTTGAATCACTGGGCCCCTGGGTTAATGACCAAGGGTGCTATCAGTGTGGAGTCTGCACTGAGTTTATATCTTCTCCCCATGTTCATGTTTCCTCCTGCAACCATAAGACATGCTGGTAGGGTCATTTGCTTCTGTAAAAATTGGCCCTGATATGAATGTGTGCCTGTGGGTGCCCAGCAATGGACTGGCGTCCTGTCCAGGGTGTGTCCTGCCCTTGCACCCATTACTTGATGCAATAGGCTCTGGCTTTACTTGATGCAATAGGCTCTGGCTTCCCCTGTGACCCTGCATAGTGGATAAAGCAGTTTAGAAAATGTACGGATGGATTTTAGATGTGTAGCATATCAACACATTTTTCCTTAGAAATAATGTCTCTACAGTATTATTTACCCTCTACAAACCAGGTCAGTTCTTTTTTTAACATTGATTTTAGTTGTCTGCAGCCCAGGTTTCTAAGTTAATTTCAAAGTATTGTGTAATTGTTTTACACCTCATAGATGAGTCTTGTGCATCATTGCTCATGTCCAACATACATGGATTCTTGAAACCACATACTAGTAGCACCTGTTGGACTCGATTTGTATTTCATATGTAAGGACAGAAGAAAGGTTTCAAATGTCATTTGGCCACAGTTTATAACCACAAAGTATTTGACAAGGAGAGCAAGTTTCATATAAACATTTTATGAACTTTATGAAAGGGAAAATGGTTCTGTAGCAAAAACAAAATGCAAAGTGATATTAAAACACACAAGTGAGCAACAATGGTTACCTAACACCAGTAGGAGGAATCCGAAAATAAATAAAATGCTCCAGTTTCTGGTCTGATTTCACTTGTCACAAAAATAACTGTTTTTGAAAATTCTTTGTTGTTGTATTCCACTGTAAGGAACTTTTTATTGAGCCAAAAGAGAACCTTTTTTGATCACAGTGCTCCAGAAAATATAACTGGTACCCTTTAAAAAGAATATGAACTATTTCTGAATGTTTTTAGCACTAGATGAGCCTAAAAATAAACCATTGAGAAGCATACAAATCTCTTCCTACTAAAACACCATGTACAGAATCTGTCAGTTATGAATAGAATTAAAAAGTATAATTTCCTATTTAAAATAGGAACTAGATTTTTAAAAAGTTTTTACACAAGTATTTGAGACTGTACAGAATTCTTAATGTAGGTTTAGGAGGAAGACAAACACAAACTGCTATAAGGGGCATTTGACCTTCTTAGCTCAGCATTCCTCCATCAATTCTTGAGTATGTACACTAATTCCTGGAATGTTTCAAGACCTAGTTGTTATACTTGCAAACACTAAGTCTTCATCAGCTAAAAGATCTATCGGACCTGTTAGTTGCTTGTAACATTTGGCACTGTTATAAACCTGCTGCCTGTTGCTCAGAGAGCATGTTACACACTTACACAATACATATTTTGACTGTTTTTCATCCATCTTTTATGTTTATCGTAACTATAAGAATTTATCCCTTTTACTAGTCAGTAGTTGTCTTAAATAGTCTCTAGTCATTGTTCTGTGTAGTAATTTTAAATTCAGTCTAAACCAGAGAAATTCAGTCAACCAGAGAAAAATGTGAACTCGAAAAGGTTCCCCTCCCAGGGCATTGATTTTATTGAGATTTTAAGTGTTCCTTTTTCATTATCTGATATATCCCTCTAATCAAATTTGGGTCACCATTAACAACCCTTGGTATGGTAAGAGAAAGGACAGTGCAGGCTTACCTCTGAATAAAGGAGTGGCCATTTGCAGTTTTACACGCACACTGCAGGATCCACAGTGCCCACAGGAGAGAGGGTGTCGGTCACAGAGAGATGCAGCTCTAGAAAACAGCAGTGTAAGGTTTGCAGTCACAGGGGTGACTATTAGACTTGCTGGTGAGACATGGTCAACCCATTCTGTGGTGCCACTTGGTGAGTCCTGCTTACAACTGGCTAATCAAGACTTGGGACTGAAGTTGTAAGTGCTGATGATGATGATTCACCCTTAACTTAAGCATGAGGAAGAATAACACCTATAGTTAGTACTGCAAAGTCAGCTTTGTTTGATCCACATTGTATTTAGTGTAACTTATGGCTTTTTTGTTTTATACTAACTGTGGGGTTGTTGGTGTAATCTATCATAGATCTGAATATTTAAGTACAATATAAAATCTAAATGTTGATTTATTTCTGTTCAACTGATATTTTTCCAGACCTTTTACAGATTTTTCTTCCCTGGTTAATTTAAATATCTTAAATGGATTCAACCTGGAGGCTTGATTTGTGTGCAAACATATCCAGCTGTGTTTTCATTTTGTTATAAATGTGCTGTTCATTTGACAGATTCACTGGGTAATGTGGACTTTGGGCTACAGATATGGCTGGTGTGAACTGAGTTCTGTTTAAACAAATGCCATTTCCTGATAGGAGTGACTCTTTCAACCATGGCCTCCCAGCTGAAACCCTTAGAAGAGAGCTGTGGTTGGGTGGGCTTTTTCCAAATGGAGTTTCCAAGACAATTACATGTTATGATACTTTAATTAAACTGTTAAGCAATTTTATACCATGGTGATTTGTGTCAGAATTCAGTCCCCTGGATCTCCCCCCCCCCAGAGATAATGGTGCACTTATTCATTTTAGTTCTGATTAACCCAGGACATGCCTTGTTTATCCCAGTGAATTTGCTAATAATGCTCTGTCGTATCTGCTTCAGCTCCAGCTCAGGGTTGACAGACAGCCGTCCTCAGTCCCCAGCCAGGACGCCAGTGTTCCTCAACCCCACTGCTCCTCCCCCACCGCCACCACCCTTGCCCCCTCCCCCACCTCCCTTACCCTCCACAATGCCCGGGTCAGGACTGCGAGCCACCCCACCTCCCCCTGTGCCGCCCCCTCCTCCGATACAGCCCCCTGCTATCCCCCCTCCTCCGGCACCCCTCCAAATTGCCCCTGGTGTCCTGCACCCGGCCCCTCCACCAGTCGCCCCTCCTCTGGCCCAGCCTGCCTCCCCTGCCCGTGCTCCACATGTCCCCGAAAGGCCCCCCCCTGCTTCTCAGACAGAGAGCCTGATCCTGCCCCCACCTCCCCCTCCTCCTCCCCTGCCTCTCCCTGGACTCAGGACCTCCTCCCCCTGCCCTACACCCCCTCCTCCTGGCCCACCCCCTGTGCCTTCCTTCCTGTCAGGTGCTACCCCTACCCCCCTGGCGCACATGGGGCATGGTCCCGACACCAAGCGGCACCCCTCCAACCTGCCAGTCATCAGCGACGCCAGGAGTGTCCTTCTGGAAGCAATACGCAAAGGTGAGGAAATTCTAGCATCAGTGATGGGCTGGGAATGCTTGTTTTTTTTTTATTAAAAGCAGTTATCGGAGTAACTAAGTTTATACAACAGTAAACTATAGAGCAAAGAAATGTAAACGGCGGCACTTTCCCAGGGCGCAGGTTCTTGAGGGATGAGCAACCGTGATGATAACTCTTAACTGACTCAGGTTGTAGGCTTGTACTGAATACAGGTGTCCCCAGATTGTTTCCTTTAACTTAGTCTCTTAAATATTTTAAATTGAAATTTAAGTTAGGTTAAGCTTTGAACTTGTGAGTGATAGTATATCAGTTATCCTCTTCTGGGTTTAATTTAATTCTAGCTAAAAGTTTGTTTTTAAATGGCGTAATAATACCCACATATTGGCCCTTGTCTAACATACCTTATATAAAGTGTCTCGGTAGAATACAACAGATTTCATTGAAGACATGAAAAACAGCATGATAATAAAACAGAACTGTGTAGAAGAATGATCTTATCTGCCAGTACCACAAAGGGTTTGATGACCTGCCTTCCCTTCACTTCACTTACTTAATGACTAATATGATAATTTTATTATCATTTTAAAGCTCTGCGTAAACCCACTTTGTTTGGGATGAAACTCTTGGTTGATACCAGGCATTACAAAAACTTTAACGATGTGGTATTCAGACTGCCAGGAGATCAGATGCCGCCCCAGCCAAGCTGCATTTAGGATTTGAATGAAATGTTTCAGATGAAAATGTTTTGTTTACCAAAAGGACTTAAAACAAAGCTATTTTTGAATAGCTGTATTAGGTACTTGAAAATAGCTGCTGACTAGGTTTAATTGGCAGTTCTAAGATTGTCTCTTTTCTTCTCACCCTGCACTGGAGTGACATCCTGCTCAGGGGAGAGCAGTCATGAACAGGCCCTGGCTTTAGCTGCAATAAGTTGCTTTCTGATAATGGGGATTGTATTTGGTACATTTCCAATAACATGCAACACAGTGCAGTATTTCCATCAGTGCAGGATGGCAAAGCATAGGTACTAGATCTGGGGTTACTGTGTGTGCCCAAGCACCCCTATATTTTTGATCATATAATGGCTAAAGCAAGTGGTGATGGTAGTTTTACAGTTTTGTGTTTGGAAGATTTCCTTAGGCTTATGCATACAAAGACCTAAGTAACTATTTTGTCCTGTTCAAGACTCCAAGTCAAGAAAATTAACTGTGTGACAATGATTCACTTGATTTGTTGTTAAATGATCCATCACAATGAAATCATAAGGAACTGCCTTTTAATCTGCAAACGTTTAAATGCAGGATGGCCGCTGTGGGGAAAAACGCAAACCTAACCAGAGCTCAGCATGTCACAAATGTATACAGTTCCAAATATTGTTTTTGGAAAACCTAGCCCTCCAAAAAAAAGAAAACGCACAAACCCCAGTATCTGCTCTTAATTTGAATTTTGGTTTCAAAAAATTGAACAGTCTGTCACTGCAAAGCTTCGAGCTAAATAATGAACTGGCAAAAGGCATGTAGAGTACTTTCTGCCAAGAAAATCAAAATGCATTTCGTGCCCCATAATTCATAGAGAATTTGCTTCACTAGAGATCGAAGCATCTGTAATTAACTTAGTAGGAGAACAGTGCGAAGTTGCACGTTTCCCTTAATGAAAATATGAAGCCTTCATTAGTGGTAAGAAGTGTTGGACATTTCTTACCATTAATGAGTGTAATGGGCAGGGCAGAGATGCTTTGCTCAAGTGATTTCACCTTCACATGAGCACCCACGTTTTGGAAGGTAGCAGAGCTGGAACGGGTGTAGCTCAATTCCTCTGCGATGGGGCACTTCAGCGGCTCTCCTTGTGGGGTGTTGCAGGGATCCAGCTCCGCAAGGTGGAGGAGCAGCGAGAGCAGGAGGCGAAGCACGAGCGCGTGGGAAACGACGTGGCCACCATCTTGTCGCGGCGCATCGCGGTGGAGTACAGCGACTCCGAGGATGACTCCGAGTTCGATGAGGTGGACTGGCTGGAGTGACGCGTCGGGAAGGATGCTTAGTTTTTTTTATTCTTTATCGATAAGTGCTGTCCTCATTTGTGGTACTTGTTCAAGGGATAAAACCAGATTTCATGGTCATTTTCCAAGTGTTTTTGCAACTGTTTTGTACTCAGTTTCTACACTACATCTTTAATTTTATTTTAAATATAGTAGTCTTCTGGTGTACAGTTAAACTACCAAATTGCGTTTTAATTTTCCCCATTGACTTGAGGAGAACAATGAAACAAGAACCCAGCCACTCTTTTGGAACTTGCCATTGAGTATTATATAGGAGGCGGTATATCCTTTTATCTCCTAACTTCAGTTCTTAGACAAAGTTGCCACCTTCTGGTTGGAAACAGAACTGAGGAACTACTGTAATTTTTCATTTTAACTGTAATTTTTAATCTTTTTTTAATACTACCAGTTTCTAAAGACTAATCACTTCTGGTTCAAGCCAAATCAAGTGATTATAGTTGCTGAGTATTTCGCATGAGCAGCTAACACACAATGCATTAATTGGTTGTTCCATTGTTTGCACACGTTGTGAGTACTGACTTGAAGTTGTTTTAAAACTACAAGACTGGAGGCAGCTTTTTATTACAGTGCTACACCACATCTGCTGAGCAGTATGAGCCTTATACACTTTGTGGTGGGTCTCATGCCTTTCCTTGCAGTAAGAAGTGGAAACTGTTTAGAAACAAAACTGAAGAAGGATCTTTTTACTTTCCACTGCCTGTGTTCAAAATAAATGTTATTTTTTTTCCATATACTATGCCTTATTATTGTTTGGATTTTTTTCTAATATGCATTTTTTGTTCATGAATGTACTGTGGTGTACTACTTTGCCTGCACTCTTAAGGACTAGCTGTTTCTATGTGAAAAGACCTGATTTAAATACTGTATACTGTGTAACTTATGGTACTGTTTATTGTAACAGTTTTTGCTTGAATTAATAAAAGCTAATATTATGTTAAAATAGACGATCAATGTTAAGTTGTTTAAGGTTGAATATAAGTGTTGAACAAGGCCGGAGGATTTTATTTCCAAATACACTTTGGCGAATAAGAGAGCTGCGCCAGAATCAGTTACCACTAGCACTTGCCAGCTCATTATTAATCATTCACATTTTTTTCAAATGTGAAACTTAGTTTAGCAGTCACATTTGGCTAAAATGAATGGATGGGTTCAAAATGCAATACATTTTGAAGTTCCACTTTCGAAGCACCTGTGCCACTGCAGAACAAGGACATATGGTGAATTTGTCTCGGGATGGCCATTGAACTTTTCAGTAGGAGTGTTATTTTCTCACGATGGTGGAATGCACCTTTGGGAAGAATGCATGAAATAATGATTTAAGTCATGTGTGTACCCATTCTTCATCCAACACAGGCTTGCTTTGTCTTTATAGACACAGCAATGGTGAACTCTTACAGCTCTCTGGATATTTCTAATTAGGCATCATAAATCAAGTGTAAGGGCTTTTTGTGCTGTATATTAAAGTAATTTTTCTTGGAACTTCCTACTCCAATCTAAAGCAGCTATGGCAAATGAAATAAGAGCTCAAACCTGATCAATTCCATAAATGTGCTCAGAAAGCAAGGAACAGCACAACACAAACCGACTGTAAATTGCTGTAATAGGTCTCTTGGAATGACTGGGGAGCCGATTGAAAATAACAGGGCTGCTGTATTTTTGAGGAATGGAGCATGGAACACGTTATAGCTGGAAAATATTGTAATTGGATTTACGTGGGAAATGGGTTGTGCTTTATAGAAGTATCACAAATCTTTCTTCGTATGCCAACCGTGTTTTCAGCTCTTCGGAAAGAAAAGCCATAAAAGAAAAGGGAGGAACAATTCGCAATATATTTCATCTTCACAGCGTATTGTCATTCTGATAGAATGTGTTACCGACAGCTTTTACCATTAATGAGCACTTACTGTACCTGCACTGCAACAAGAGATGCATTTTGTTTGAATTGATTCAGTCTGAAACTCTGCATTAACGATAGAGTCCTTGTTTGACTCCTATTTACTGGGTTCACTTAGCCTTTTGAATCGCAGTTCTGTATCTGATATCGGGTCTCTGCGTAAAGTAAGGCTGTAGGTTGTGAGACACTTAGTTTTCTTCGCTATTAAATTTCAAGTTCTTTTGACAATGTTCTCCTTTCCATTATACAACTGGAGCAATAACATTTCCAGATGAGCAACATACAGTAGTTCATAACTTACAGTTCAAATGTAGCTTCTGTTCCCTGTAGCTATATCCCAGACATCCTCTTTAAAGCCCCCAGAGGGCCAAACAAGGGTGATTTTAAACAGAAAATCACAGCATCAATATCATCAATATAGAAAATCCTAGCCTTCAGTATGGAGATCACACAAAAGAAAAAAAAAAACTGACCAAAACGTCCATCAGAAGTGTTAAAATGTGTTTGTCTACTATGGGCGTTACCTAGATTTAGGCGTTCATAATATACGGTTCCCATTATCCCATTGTATCTTCTGCTGTCCAAAGATCTGTGATGCAGCGTGTCACATTGGCAGCATGTACATAACTGACCCCAGCCACCCTTCAGAAGGAGAGAGTTTCTCCCCTCCACCTGTACCCTGTGATGACCTTCCTCCCATTCACCTGATAACCGGTGTGGCAGAGCTAGGAGGCACATCATAGCTGAACATCATTCTAGTGAAACAGTGATCATATTTTTTAGTTTGTATGTTTTTCTAATTTAATTGAAGTTATTTTTTTTCCCCAATTAAAATAATTTAGGTCATATTTGTACTGGGCTTAAGACTTTTCTGCAATGTGTGGGTAGACGGGAAGCCTCACCTATATTACTTAATTCTCACCAAAAAATGTTGGGGAAAAACAATATCCCAGTAAAGGAATATGTTCTTTATTGTTTTGTTGATGATAATTCCTGATTTTATAGTCTTACTTTTCTTACGCTTGTGGGTTAAGATTAGGGAATATTTTCAGTCAGAGGGCTACATGCAACATACTGTGGATGATATTCTTGTGCTTTGTCTTGACCTGTTGCCAGTCTTCCCATTGTGGTCCTGCTACTGTAAATGCATGAATTATCTGCTGCATGAAAACAATATTGTACAACTATACAACTTAAGGAGGAGCTCTGCTTCAATGGCTTAATGTAAGTGAAGTAAGCCAACACATACATGCATATTTATGTGAAGTATGAAGTAAGCCAACTATACATTTATAGTTTTCCTATCTTGAGATATTTCATGGGATTTCATAATTAACTTCCACATTAAATTTGGCAATTCTCTGCCAGGTGTATTCTCTGGCTTTTGCAGTGTGTACAATAGTTTCTCGCTGTTTAAACAGATTTAATTCTCATAGTTTTCCACAGGGAATCGTAATTCATGTTCACTGGATTGGGATGCACATTCTTCCTCTGATTTTGCTGGCACAGATATTTGATGCTCAACCCTCCTTGCCTACTGAAGTGCAGCACAAACACATAATCAGATTGTTAGAGCCTGAATCGTTTTAACCAGATAACTTAATCCAGAGTTTGCCTTTGTGAAACTGGAGTAATTCTGAACTCGGTTATCAGTTTAATTCAACCTGACTATTGAATAAAAAATAGGAAGCTATAGAATTAGGTAAACCTGCTTTGTGAAACAGCCCCAGGAGAACAGTGTTCTAATGTAGTGTTTGTCTAAACCAATACACAAAAAAATAACTCCTTTTCTAGCTCTTCACAATATAGTTCCTTATTGTCACACAATGGCATGAGGAAGGCCAAAGTAGGTCCGTTTTATAAGAGAATGGCACTGCCGCAAAAACACTCAAGTAAAATAAGTGCAGTTTATTTACAGTGCTCCCAGTCTCCCAAACCAGAAAACAAAACCCCAAAAAGAAACAAAACTAATTCTTCAAATGAAGATAAATCCTCCTTATTACTATCTCTGTTTTCAATCACTCATACCTGACATACCAACCACCAACCACCAACCACCAACTCCCTCTAAGGCTGAGGAGCCAGCTTAAATAGCTTGTAAGCCCCTCCCCCTCTGGAACAAACCATTTCTCCAATCCAATGCATGGTTTTTCCCCATCTCCTTAAATCAGCCTTGAGAACTGGGGTTAGGTTTGGCCTTCTGAGGCCACCTTAGGCTGACCCACCCTGGAAGTACTGACACCAAACATACAGTGAGTATCATCCATTTTGAGAGCGCTCTCCATTCACACCACAGTACTCACTCATGCCTGTGTTTAAGTATGTGAATGTAAATGAAATTAATTAATAGCAGTTACTAGTCAAGCCCTGAGTGTGCACCCTCAGGAACTTATCTAGCAGCCGCTCAACGGAAGGTGTATGAATATGTATCTGTACCTCATGACAGGCTCCTCTGTCGCACCTATACATCCCAAAATATAGTCATAATATATAATTATTTAAATTATATAGTCTAAATGATCTTATATCATTCAATCAGGATACTGTTCAAATTGCATGTGCTGACAATAGGTATTTGGAAAAACTGATTTGAAAGTAAAAATAAAACTTGGTCGTCATTAAAGTCGCAATCTGTGAATGAGAAACAGAAATCAAAATGTCCCAATTGCTATGGTGTTTTTTGCTGGCCTTTTTTAGGTATTTGTCCAAAATAGGTTTTAAAAGTATTCAAATGTGAACCGGTATCGTTGTTCGTTAACATTGCTGTTCTAAGAATGGAAGCAGGGTACATTGTTGGTTATGCTTAGTGTTGCATTAAGGAGCAAAGATTAAATTGGGTTTAGAGGTGCAGTCTGAGCTCTGGTTTGGGCTTGATGGGAGCTAAGGTAATTTTTGCAACATGAGGAAAATTAGGGGTTAAAATGAAACATGGAGTTGGAGCTGTGGAAGCTGTACAGTAGGGCTAGAGCTTACAAATGAGGCGGCAGTATGGCCCCTGTAGCTTGTTTCTTTGCTAGTAGGAGGTTCAGATGGAACTTAGGTGAGAGCTGGATTTGGAGGTGGGGTTATGGTCTGATCTAGAGTTATGTTAAATGTTAGGGTTGCATTTTCATTCTGAACAGTATATCTTAAGAATGAATAAGCTGATTGACAGCAACCAAGCCAGGATGAACTCAGAATCCTCTGGTTTTGTGTTGAGAGCCATGTATATCTCATTTTACATACTCCCTGTCCCACATAATGGTAAAGGGGTATGAATTATAGAATGCAATATTTAATCTATACTATTCATTTTGGTATTAATCCTAAATTATCTACCAAGGCTTTTTACTATTTTTGTTATGCTTCCATTCTGGCATTAAGTCCCTCCCCTTAGGAGAACATTCATAGTTTTCCTGTGTTAATGTCCTGCTGGTTGTAGCCCTTTCCTTAAGATATAAGATAAAAAGGAGGGATTAACCAATTGAAATAGGAATTGAGAGTTAACCATTAAGTCTTTAAAATAACACGTCAATTCAAAAGGTAAATCAGGAGTTAGAATTAACCATTAAATCTTCATAACCAAATATTCCTACTTTTAACTTCCGTTAAAATAGAACAGCTCTTTCTTATCTCCAAAATACAGTTCTCAGCATCAAAGTAGCTATACTTTTAATAGTTAAAAAAATAATCATAAAACCACTATCCAACAGCTTCTGTGACTTGTGGAGCACGCTGGAGGAACTCTGGTGATGTGAATGTTTTTAATTTACTAAAATAAATTAGAGATTGGAACAGTAAATTGCAAGAGTGCTTTGATGACTGTTAGGATTCAATCAAACACAATAACAAGCAGGCGCACATATGAATTTTAAATATGCAATTCGCAACCTAGTAATACAACACCAAAAAAGAGTTGTAATCCATCACTAACCAATAAGAGCAATAATATACAGTGTATTCAAAACATCTGCTTTGATACAAATGGTTGATTGTTCACTGAAAGATTACAAATGTAATATTTAATCACATTAGGTTTAATATATATTGATTATAATATTTATTGT